TGTTCCACTGCTGAACAGCTCTTACTGTCAGAAAGGGCAAAGTTAATGTGGATCGTTTTGTTAGATATATTATTTTGAGAGTCTGGAATAGATATAAACCTAGGTTATATGCAAAGATACTCTTATGGATCTCAACACAAGAAGTGTTTCACAGAAAAGAGGCAACAGGCAAGGACAAATGGTAAACTTATCAAGAGGCATTAGCGTGGAGTCAAAGGGGCTGTAAAATTAAAACAAGGAGAAAACTCACAAAGGAAGGCTACAGTCTCCAGTGGTTTCCTCACCTGCAATTAGCTGAGAGATTTAAGTTGGATAAAAAAGGCTTTGGTACTAGGGTTGCTATATGTCTGGTTTCCCCCAGACATGTCTTCTTTTTCAGGCTTAAATTTTCTGTCTGGGCAGATTTTGACAAAATATCCAGGGTTTTTTTTGTTTGGCACCATGGTGGGTTTGGGTAGGCTGAAGCTCAGAAAAGAGTAAAGGGAAGTCCCATTGCATGAGCAGTAGACAAATCTGCAAGTGGGCTGCTAGGAAAAACACAATACCTGCAGGAGCATCTAGCTGGTCCTTTCACCACTGAAGCCATTGCTGCAAGCAGCAGCTGCTACTGCAGGCAGAGTAGAACCCAACGGGAGTGAGGCAACTGGAGAAGTCACAGAGAAGAGTGCCTCCCTGGGTGCTCCTTGTCCAAGGATGGAGACCGACCCAACTGGCAGCCCAGGGGAACCTGGCAGCCCAGGGGAACTGTGTGGCAGGACGGGCACTGCCGCTACTGCCGCCTTTGCAAAGGAGAGGCCAAGATGCATTGGAAGGGTGGAGAAGGCCACATGAAGGCCTGTTGCTGGGAATAGTGCTCTTCTTGGGACCAACCTGCTGAGGAGGAACACAGAAATCCCCTGGGAGACCGTGCGGCAAGCTGTGCTTGGCAGTAAGGTAGCCGCCATGGGGGTCCTTCCCCTGCCAACCGAAGGGTGTTGGTGGCAGGTGTGGGCTCGATGGGGAACAAGCAGAGAACGGTGGAAAACAGTGGCACCCAGGAGGGAAACCCAAAATGATGGTGGCTTCCTACTGAGGCCACCTTCAGGTCAGTGCGCTCCACATTAGAGGGAGAATGTATTTCTTCTTCTTCTTCTTCTTCCCTTTTTAAATATATATATATTAAATATATAAATTTAATTAAATATATTAAATATTAGAAGTCTACTCCAGTATAAATTGGAGCAGGGCTTCAATGTGGCTGCCCCTGTTCCATGGAACAGCATTCCAGTTGAGATGACAGGCCCCCACAATCTATCTCTACTTTCTGATCGAAAATGGTGCAGGGTTGTCTTGACAGTACTCAGCCCAAGCCCAGTTTCTCCAAAATCAGGCTTCAGCCAAATCTGGTGCACAGCCCCACCTAACATTATTTTCCTTGAGTGCAGCTTTAGTGCAGCTTTAGGCTTATATTTCAGGGTGGTCTCTGGCTGCTGTCCCAACTGTTGAAACATGGATTGGGGAACTCAGGTGTGGGGTGGGGGTGGGTAAATGTGCCCTCTAGCCTTCTTTATCCTGAGAACTCTCTCTCTACCCTGAGAACTTTCTCCGGGTCAAGGGTGCCAACTTGAATAAAATATGGTGGGGGGACAACGTAATCCCCGCCCCATGTAATCAATCACATGATGCAGTGCACACACACCATTTGAATAGCAATGCGCACCAATTTGGGGGGGGGCAGCTCCATCAAATATTTTATTACGGAAATGACTGGCAGAATCCGTGACCAGGGAGAAGAGTCGGTGGAGGAAGACTGGAAGAAATTCAAAGATTATCTACAGAAACACTGCAAAATTAAAGAATGTTAGAGTGATGTTGGATTAAAAATAAGTGGTTTTCGGCTGTACAGGATTCAAAGTTTATAGATAGACTAAGATTAAAGATTAGGATTAAAGAAATTGAAGGAAATGGAAATTTGATATTTAAGAGGTAAAATTTTAATGCTATATTATATTAAGATTAAAGATTGGGATTAAAAAAGTGGAAAAGAAATTGCTGGACAAACAATTTGGACTGGAATACAAAAGAGGGAGGTATGAGGAGGTCCAGAAAATAAGTAAATTTAAAAACGGAAATGAAAAGGTGATATTGTTTTTAATTGTTCTGTCTTTTTTATTATTATTATTTTTGTTTTTTGTTTTCTGTGTTTTTTATTTTTCTTTGGATTATGTATTGTGTATTTGTGTACTTCTTTTCTATGTTTTTCTGTTTAATCTTTTACTGAAATCTTAATAAAAATCATTTTAAAAAACAACAACAAATATTTTATTAAGGAGGTTGAAGCCCCCTTGGCCCCTAGGAGTTGGCTCCCATGCTATAAGTCAGTCTGAAATCAATACCAGGGAAGATTCTGGAGCAGATCATTAAGCAAACAGTCTGTGAGCACCTAGAAAGAAATGCTGTGATCACCAATAGTCAGCATGGATTTCTGAAAAATAAGTCATGTCAGACTAACCTGATCTCGTTTTTTGACAGAATTACAAGCCTGGTAGATGAAGGGAACGCAGTGGATGTAGCCTACCTTGATTTCAGCCAGGCATTCGACAAGGTGCCCCATGATATTCTTGTAAAGAAGCTGGTAAAATGCAGACTTGACTATGCTACCACTCAGTGGATTTGTAACTGGCTGACTGACCAAACCCAAAGGGTGCTCATCAATGGTTCCTCTTCATCCTGGAGAAGAGTGACTAGTGGGGTGCCACAGGGTTCTGTCTTGGGCCCGGTCTTATTCAACATCTTTATCAACGACTTGGATGATGGACTCAAGGGCATCCTGATCAAATTTGCAGATGACACCAAACTGGGAGGGGTAGCTAACACCCCAGAGGACAGGATCACACTTCAAAACGACCTTGACAGATTAGAGAACTGGGCCAAAACAAACAAGATGAATTTTAACAGGGAGAAATGTAAAGTATTGCACTTGGGCAAAAAAATGAGAGGCACAAATACAAGATGGGTGACATCTGGCTTGAGAGCAGTACATGTGAAAAGGATCTAGGAGTCTTGGTTGACCACAAACTTGACATGAGCCAACAGTGTGACTCGGCAGCTAAAAAGCCAATGCAATTCTGGGCTGCATCAATAGGAGTATAGCATCTAGATCAAGGGAAGTAATAGTGCCACTGTATTCCGCTCTGGTCAGACCTCACCTGGAGTACTGTGTCCAGTTCTGGGCACCACAGTTCAAGAAGGACACTGACAAACTGGAACGTGTCTAGAGGAGGGCAACCAAAATGGTCAAAGGCCTGGAAACGATGCCTTATGGGGGACGGCTAAGGGAGCTGGGCATGTTTAGCCTGGAGAAGAGGAGGTTAAGGGGTGATATGATAGCCATGTTCAAATATATAAAAGGATGTCACATAGAGGAGGGAGAAAGGTTGTTTTCTGCTGCTCCAGAGAAGCGGACACGGAGCAATGGATCCAAACTACAAGAAAGAAGATTCCACCTAAACATTAGGAAGAACTTCCTGACAGTAAGAGCTGTTTGACAGTGGAATTTGATGCCAAGGAGTGTGGTGGAGTCTCCTTCTTTGGAGGTCTTTAAGCAGAGGCTTGACAACCATATGTCAGGAGTGCTCTGATGGTGTTTCCTGCTTGGCAGGGGGTTGGACTCGATGGCCCTTGTGGTCTCTTCCAACTCTATGATTCTATGATTCTAAGTCCTTCCCTCCCCAGGCCATACTACTCACACATTTCTTGGATGTTTTACCTGGCCCTTACACACTGTTGGACTGTGACGATGGCACTTGCTTCCCTGAATGTTGAGAAGTGTGCTTGCCTATGGACCTCTGATTCTGTACAAAGGTAAGAGTTGCAATCATTACTTCACCCTCTCATTCATCTCATCATGCCCATCACCAGCATTTTGTCCCTAGAAGTTTGCCCACAAAGGGGCACTGCCCCAGCCCTGTGTTAAAGACTGCAGGCTGGAGACAAATGAGGCCTTGGGTGCCACTAGGAGCCTCAATGGCAGGACTGAGCTCTTGCCAGACTCTGCCAGTGGTCAGGGGGCACTGGAGTTCAGCAACATCTAGAGGGCAACAGATTCCCCACTCTTGGCTTACTTGCCTCTTTCTCTTCCTGCCACCACTGCTCTGCTAATAATTAAAGTAAGCCAGGGATGCATGAATGATCTATCTCCACTCCACAATAAAAGTGTGCAGGATTTTGTTTTGTTTTTGTTTTTCAGTTTTTAAAGAACAGCTGGATTTTCCATTAGCAAGCCTGAATATTAGCCAAGAAGCATTCTAGACCCCTAAGTGACTTCCTTGGTCTAATTGATTTGCAGATACCTAGAGCTGTTGATAATAGTTATTTCACTTTGTTTCCATCTCTTCCCCCTCCCCATCCCCATCCTTCCCTTGTAGTTTTGGCTTATTATGATCCTTATCTAGAAAGGCCTATTACTTGCTTTGATCTGAAAAAAAATCTAATCGCTGACAACAGCTGGCATTTGACAGAACATGGACAAAACACATCAGTGTGATCCCTTTTTTAAAGTCTTATTTTTGAAGCCAAGGCTATAAACACCCAGGACCTCTTCCTTTCCATCAGATTTACTTACTTCTTTTTGCAGGTGGTGTGGGACTAAGAAATAAACATCAGAAACACATTAATGGGTGACAGAAGAGAAGAAAAGCTTCAACTTTTTTGTTCAAACAAACATTTTGTTCCCAAAGATGAGCTGGAGATAGAAGCACAGGAAGGGGAGTTACGTATATTGAGTTAGACCAGGCTTCCTCAACCTCAGCCCTCCAGATGTTTTTGGCCTACAACTCCCATGTTCCCTAGCTAGCAGGACCAATGGTCAGGGATGCTGGGAATTGTAGTTCCAAAACATCTGGAGGGCCGAGGTTGAGGAAGCCTGAGTTAGACCAGTGGTCCATGAAGCTTGGCAATGTCAACACTGACTGGCAGTGATTCTCTGGGATTTCATGCAGGAATCCTTTTACAGCCCAACCTGGAGATGCTGGGGGTTGAACCTGGGACCTTCTGCATGCAAAGCAACTGTTCTACCACTGAGCTATCACTTCTCCAAGGCTTTGCATTAGGGACACAGGAAGTTGCTGGTCCGACTAGCTCAGGATTGTCTACACTGATTGACAGTGGTTCTCCAGGGTTTCAGACCATGAGCCTATCACAGCTCTTCATGGACATGCTGGGCATTAAGCCTGGGACCTTCTGCATGTAAAGCAGTTGCTCCAAGCATGATCACTTTTTTTTATTTTTACAAATTACACACCAGTCCTCATTTTCATCTAATGTCAGAGGAGACACGATAGTCTTTGGAGTGCCAGCAGCAGGTGCATCCCTCCTGATCTTTTGACCCCTTGTATCCTCCAGACTTTCTCACAAAGTCTCAAGTGGTTTAAAAAGGAAAATGTTGAAAGAGCCAGAATGAATGAATATGAGTGTTCTGTTTCTGCTTCTTCAACATGGCAGCTGCAACAGCTGTAAGGAAGCTCAAGTGGAGTAAATCTGCCACTTGGAAAAGACTCTTTAGAGAAGGGTCTTCCTGTCTTTTCCTTGACCAGGAGAAAAACACAGAGAGACAAATGAGTTGTGGTGGGAAAAGAAGGAGAATGAAATCAGATCTATCAATGAGTGTCTCGCTGGTGCCTTATAAGACATTTTCTCCTGTGGTTCCGCTACAGTCTCAGTGGGCTAATACGCAGCGATTTATTCACTGGTTCAGAACACCTAGAAATTAAATTTAAGATATTGTAATGCTGAAGCAAGCTTAGAGGGATGAATCTGAAACAGGATTTCTAGGGTTTCTTTTGTGAAAGTTAGTGATGAAAGATGAGAGGATTGTTAAGTGCTTGCATTTTTGTTGCTTTTATTGCCACGCTCATGAGAGACTGGCTGCTTCCAGACCGTTGCTATTTTTGGGAAGGATTCAATCACATCCCAGCAAATTCAGGTTGTGCAATTATAGCCAATTGGGAGATCTTGTGCAACAAATACACTTTCCCAGAAATTCAGACTTTTTGTCATAAGGAAAGTGATTTGAAAGTGGAAATGAAAGAAATTAGATTGCCACCCTCTGGACCTCTCATGAAGGAACACAAAGAAGGGACTTAGAGGCTGATCTCAGGGTCTGGTTGGGTTCATATGGAGAGAGGCTGACTTTGAGGTATTGCAGACCCTCCATGTCCCTATTTTCCAAGGATGCCCCTGATTTAGAGAAGCCATCACAGTTTTTTGTTTGAATGTCCTGCTTTTCCTTAGGATGTCCCCATTTTCATTGGAAAAAATGTTGGAGGGTACAGAGTTATCCAACCTCCGAGCCGTCTGAAGGCAATCCTGCATAGGGAAGTGTTCTTTAATGTTTAATGTTTGATTATGTTGGAAGATATGTTGGAAGCTGCCCAGAGTGCTGGGACAACTGAATAGGTTGTGTGGGGTATAAATTATGGAATGGGATGTCCCTATTTTCATCAGAGAAATATTGGAAGGTATGGGCTTTGCAGTCCTGAGCCATTTAATGCTTTATAGGTCAAAACCAGCACTTTGAATTGGGTCTAGAAACTAATTGGTAGACTGCGGTTGGACCAGGATTAGTCCAATATGCTCAAACTGTCTTGCCCTGGTGAGCAACCTGTCCATAGCTGTCAACTTACAGATTTGAAAATAAGGAACCAGCAGCCAAAATAAGGGACCTGCAGCCTCACCTGTTCCAGGCACTCCAGTCTTCCTGTCCTCCTGCAGTCTGGTCAAACTCATGCTGGTAGCTTCGAGAACACTGTCCAACCAACTTTGTAACCAGAGGTTCAACTTAATAGAATCTGAATCACATGCACCACAAGGCCTATGCAGCCTCAACTTAAGATGGCTCCCCGCCTGGCTTTGCACTGCAAAGTTTGCAGCAGCACATGCAACAAAATGGCGTCCAGCATTCAAAAAACCCCTCAGCTTGCATTAACTAGCCACACACAAGGCATGCAAGCTCCACCCCCCAGTCGTTCTTAGACTTCTTATTGGGTGAGCAACACAGCCAAGCAACACAGTTGAAGCCTCCCTCCTCCCTGGCCGGCAGGGAGGGCGGGAGAGGAGCTGCTTCCTTTGAAATTTAAGGGACATCATTTAAGGGACATTTAAGAGACATCCATCAATAAGGGACAGCAGCGGGACATGGGGCTGGAATAAGGGGCTGTCCCTTCAAATAAGGGACACTTGACAGCTATGAACCTGTCTGCTGAGTTCTGTAAGATGAATACTTCTCTGAAAGCATCCTGTTGTTTTTTCTGCAGAAAAATATGGCTGCCCACATGAGGCAATAATCTCCCCCCCCCCGCTATAGCGCTATAGCTCTTTGAATGTAAAATTGCACATACAAATACATAGCAAAATCAACATCTTCTCCCTGTACCCCTTTTTAAAAATAGATATTTTTGCAAATATAAATATAGAAACAAAATAAACATCCTTAGCTGACATTAACAATAAAACTGTCCCATCAATCCTAAGCATAGAAATTAATTAAGGCATGTCCAAATAGGTATTCAAACAAGATTGGCTATAAATAAGCTATATGTTCAAACTTCTAGGTTAGAGATATGTTCAGTCCACTATGTAGCCGATGGTGGATGTTTATTCTTCCAGCCAAGCAGTGTAAGTCTTTTTGCAATGTCCATTTTCGTAGATCAACTGTTCCCACACTACAGACACGTAATTCAAGAGTGTGCTTGTACCTGCTTTTAAAAGCATTTTCCCCCCAGTGTGGCAAAGCTGAAGTACTTTTGAAACAGCTCTGAGCATATTTACACTGTTAAAGGTGTTTATGTGTATGTGGAGGAAAGCAACTTTTAGACCATTTCCTAAGAACTCCCACACATTATCTTACTGCACATTATTTTAAATCGTGGATTAAAAATATTTCCCAGGAATTATCCTACAGAACCCCCATGCAGAAATTTGATGGGATCTAATGGGCAGAAGATCAAACCTATCTATTCTTAATGAAATCAGCCCTGAGTGCTCACTGGAAGGACAGATCTTGAAGCTGAGGCACCAATACTTTGACTACCTCATGAGAAGAGAAAACTCCTTGGAAAAGACCCTGATGTTGGGAAAGATGGAGGGCACAAGGAGAAGGGGACGGCAGAGGATGAGATGGTTGGACAGTGTTCTCGAACCTACCAGCATGAGTTTGAACAAACTGCGGGAGGCAGTGGGAGACAGGAGTGCCTGGCATGCTCTGGTCCATGGGGTCACGAAGAGTCAGACATGACTAAACGACTAAACAACAATGGGGCAGAGTTGTCCATCCCTATATATAGCACTTTTCAAGTATCTGAAGAATTCCTTACAAAAGCTCTCTTAGACCACTCTGATTATCCCCTATTGTAGACAGAGGGCTGGCTCCAAAATTGTGTGGCAGTCATTCTTTAAGGCAGGGGTGGGGGACATTTTTGGTCCAGGGCCCACATTCTCTTTGGCACAGCTTTCCAGGGACCATGTGCCAATGGCAGGCAGTACCAGAGACAAAAGTGACTGGAGCAATGTGTGTAAATACATTTGGAGTACGAAGCAGGAATGGTGAGGTGTGTCACTTGGGGATAAGGGGTGTGGCTTTGGGAGAGTTCAAGGGGGCAGATAGAAAAGCCTGGAATCATAGAATCATAAAAGTGTAGAGTTGGAAGGGACCCTGATGATCTTCTAGTCCAGTCCCCCACAATGTAGGAATATGCAGCTGTCCCATATGGGGATCGAACCTGCAACCTTGGCATTGTCAGCACCATGTGGAGAGCCACATTTGGCCCTAGTCCTGAGGTTCCCTGCCCCTTCATGACAGATTTCAATTGTCCAAGCACAGGTTGAATCACAGAGCCAAGGTTGCAATTCAGAAAAAGTCATACAAAGTTGAAAGTAAGTTGTATTGAATTTAGCAGGGCTTACTTATGAGTAAACACTACAAGCACTGGGAAGAAAACATGCAGATGTAGCTGTAGGGAGAAGAATGAGAGAAGGGGAGCAATTTCTGGCATGGGAGTGGAGGAAGGTTAAACTTTTATTGATCCACAGCAGGAAAACATATTCTCATTGCTTTTTCTCTCTGCTTTACAGATGATCCTGAATCAAATATAAAGGGGCCATTTCAAAGCCAGGCTTTAGAAAGATATAGCAGATAAACAGCTGTTTGCTGACACCAAAGGTGCCAAAGTGATTTTTGATGATAAAAGCTGAGCTGGAAGAACAGAGAATGCTGAACATGATAAAAACTGGGGAGGGAGGTGGGGGGCAGAGCAGAATCCAAGGACACGAAGGTTCCATAGCTGAGCTGAAAGAAAGAGGAAATAAAAGGAAACATAAGAAAATCAAAATGGTCCTGCTGGGCTCAACCAAATGATCCATTTGACTTGTCATTCTAACTTCTGCCCATAGTCAGGGAAGCTCACAAGTGAGGCGTGGTGGAATTTTAGTAATCAGAAGTTGTGTGTATCCATAAGAACATAAGAAGATCCTGCCTGCTTGAGTAGTCTTGTTCTCACAGTGGCCACCCAGATACTTCAGTGGGAATACCACAAACAGCCCATAGTCAGGGAAGCTCACAAGTGAGGCGTGAAGGAATTTTTCATCTCCTGGTTCTAGTAATGAGAAGTTGTGTGTATCCATAAGAAGAGCCTGCCTGCTTGAGTAGTCCAAAGATTCATCTAGTCCAGCCTCTTGTTCTCACAGTGGCCACCCAGATACTTCAGTGGGAATACCACAAACAGTACCAGAGCGCAACAGCAACTTTCGCCATCTGCAGTTCCCATCAGCAGATATGCAGAGCCAAATACTGCCTCGGATGGTGGAGGCAGAACATAGCAATTGTGGCTAGTGGTTTTATCCTCCATGAGTTTGTCTAATTTTCTTTCAAAGCCATCCAAGTTAGTGGCCATCACTATCTCTTGTGGCTGCGAATTCCTTAGTTTAATTGTGTGGTGTGTGGATCGCCGCGAATCGCCGCTCCAATCTCTTCCCTGGGCTGGGATCGGCGTGCTGATCTCCCCCCCCCCCCCGGGTGGGGATTGCCACGGATCGCCTCTCT